ATGGGAAATGAAGTCTCCCGCAAATAGTAGACTGTTTCTGCTAAAACTCACAGTCACATCAAGGGCTCTTTCATCTTGTATTCCAGCCGGAAAGCAGTTGTTGACTATAGATAGTGACGCACATCCGGGAAAGTGAATTTCCAGAACCAATACTTCATAATCATGTGGTACTTGTTGGTAAACTAAGTGTGCTTTATGACAAATAAATAAATGTCAATTTATACTTACTTATTTCTTGTTTATTTGTTACTCATGTCTCGAGCTTACGTTTTGGCACCTTTCGCCCTTTTACTTGTTGTACATGTCTTTGTTAGCCCCCCTTACTCAATGCCCTAACCAAGGGCCTGTAAGGTACCTGTAAATAAATAAATAAATTTTGGATGAAATGAAGAACATTAATCCTCCACGACGTGAGACTCGGTCCAGTCGAAAGCACTGATAGTTTTTAGATAGAAGTTTTGATTAGCAGACAGCCAAGTTTCTTGTAAAATTATGACGTCTGGAGATTGTTGAGAAATTAGGTATAATAAGTCTGTAGTTGCAGAGAGAATCGAACGGCAGTTCCACTGAAGTACTTCAAGGCACCCTATGATGATAAGCAAGCAGTAGCAACTGCTTGATCTAAGATACTATCGTTTAAGAAGTCCGCTTTAGTCCTAGGTTCCTTCACACTCTTTTTTGTTTTTGGATGAGAAGAATTATTAAGTTTGCTAGTGGGTGATCTGGTGCGTTTCAAAAGGCGAGCATCCATATCTACATCCCGATTACTTATTGAATCTGAATCAGATATACCTTCCTACTCAGTTGTGTTAGATTTGGAAGGCATTGCCTCATTATCGATAGAGACATCTGACTGATGTTCGGCAGGTTTATTAATTGAGGCACTAGGAAGTTGGATACGCTTAGTTATTCGATCAGATGCGCCCGACATCTGTGAATCCATATTATTATTGAGTGAGTCAGACAGATTGAGTAAAAAGTTTTCTAATACTTTTTCTACGGCCTTTTATACCATAGCAGAAATGGGCTGAGAAAGTGATGGATCCATAGAAAGAGGTGGACGAGCTGCTATGCCGGCATAACTCTGACTCTTGCTTTGAATTTCTGCAATTACTTCTATACGAGAGCATCGTCTCATTTCAATGATTTCAATCACCTGAAGTTCCTTTGATCTCGCAGAGCAGTTAGGATCGTCTGCAACGTGATTTGCCTTGCACAAACAGCATGTCTTATTGTCTGATTGACACTCAGCAGTACTATTACCAGCCCCGTATTTGGCCCCGCATATGCGGCATGGAGTCTCCGATCGACAACCTTTAGTACTGTGCCCAAAGCGCCAACATTTAGCACATTGCAGCGGACGGAGAGCCAAAGCTTCGACCTTATAGATAAGCGGCCATGCCTTGATCTCCAAAGGGCGAGCTGTTCCACAGAATGTGGCAATTACAGTTTCAGTGGGAACTTTCTGTTGGTTTTCCTGTTTGGTACAGCGGTAAACAGAAATAACACCGGCTGGGGAAAAGATGTCCAAGACTTCTGCTGGGCTTAGACTTGCGTGTACCCCTCGAACCAATCCTTTGCAGCAAGGCTGCTGACCCGCAGGTTGTGGGTTCGATTCCCGGCTGCGGCGGCTGCATTTCCGATGGAGGCGGAAATGTTGTAGGCCCGTGTACTCAGATTTGGGTGCACGTTAAAGAACCCCAGGTGGTCAAAATTTCCGGAGCCCTCCACTACGGCGTCTCTCATAATCAAATTATGGTTTTGGGACGTTAAACCCCACAAATCAATCAATCAATCCTTTGCAGCAAGATAGATGAGGTGGGATAAAAGAGCTCACCGGATGTGATGCAAAAGTAGGGCACTTCAGAAGGTCTTGGATGCAAGCCTTCTCTGGTGAGCAGCATAGTATCCCCCCGCGTCCAAACTGACGAACCTATGTTATCAGTAGAGAGTGGGGAGTGATCGCACGAAGTTCCGTTTGGATTGTCTTGGGATTTTTCATGTGGATGAACCCACCGGTGGTCGGCACCAAAGTGTCAGGAACGCTACAGTTTCCATTGTGGAGAAACAACTCCAGGGGAAGATCTTGAGGGGGAACAGAGGCTGACCAGAGGGCAGGCCTCTGGCCCGGAGAAGAAACGGACATGAACTAAGAAGAAGTTACACTTATAAATGCACTAAAACAGTTGCAGAACAATAGATAGATCTAATAAAATAAAAGTAACCGCCGGCTACTTGACCGCAACCCTGAGGATGGAACAAGGAACGCAGGCGCAGGCACGAACGCAGTCTTCTTCCACGATCTCGAAAGAATGGCGGCACGTTATAATTTCATTACAAAAGCGCCAGGCTTACTTTTTCATCGTTGTCCACCACAGCATCAAAAAATGCACCGAATTTTCGGCGAGTTTGTAGCTGGCATCATTCTTCTCTGCCGATCTTCTAGCTTTTGCTTAGACTGTGCTGTCCGTTCCGCGCAGGCCTGGCGGTACATCTGTTATGGTGGACTACTGCAACGCGTCGTAGATACAAAACTACCATCATCATTAGCCAACACGCTCTTAACCACCGCCCAAGCATTCTGTACAGATAATTGACAAGATAATTTCAAGCACGGAGCCCCGGTAGTTACCCTGTTTCGTCTCCGTCAATTCTTTGTTACGTTACTACCGCATCCTTACACGGTGTTTGGTGCCTGTGTGTGTCCTCGTTATTTATTAGTGGACGAGAATTCTGAGTAATGGGATTGCTTTAATCTTTGAGGCACATACGCGGTACAGGACTCTATAACAGCAGACGATTGATTGATGATTGATATTTGGGGTTTAACGTCCCAAAACCACTATATGATTATGAGAGACGCCGTAGTGGAGGGCTCCGGAAATTTAGACCACCTGGGGTTCTTTAACGTGCACCCAAATCTGAGCACACGGGCCTACAACATTTCCACCTCCATCGGAAATGCAGCCGCCGCAGCCGAATACGAACCCGCGCCCTGCGGGAACAGCAGACGCGTTATAGAAAAAGTTTGCCAAATGTCGCGGATAGAAAATTGTTGTAATATTCTCTCGCGCGCACTCGATCGCAGGCAAAGAATTTAGTAAAAAATGGTTAACAAGAAAACCTGAAACATGCCCAGCAACTCTGTTGTGGTCAAGCTTTGTGCGATTTAGTAAGAGCTGAAAATTTTTTTTCTATTGAAGCTACTCAAATGATTGGGAACACATTTATTTATTTATTTATTTATTTACTTATTTTTTTACTCTCATGGTCAATATACATTACAGAGGGGAGGGGGTAGGGAGAAACAGTAAAATTACAACACAACGCGAAAACGAAAAAGAGAACAGTAGTTACACAGTTAACATGTTTCTGATCATACAATGTTAGCTATTGTGTTCTTGAAAAGGTTGAAATCTCCAATGGTTGTTGTCGGGTTGGGAAGGCCATTTCATTTCTTCGATGTACGTGGCATGAAGGACTGCGAAAAGAAGTTAGTTCTACACAAAAGCATGCCGACTTTGAAGGCATGATCCAGACGTTGTGAAATGTGATGAGGATGAATTATTAATTCGTGATGTAAGTAGGCATGGAGGTAGAGTATGTGTAAAAGATATAAGCGGAAACGTTTACGCCGTGATGCAAGAGATGGTAGACTAAGGCCTGCTTTCGTGGTTGGTATGCTTGCGGTGCGATTGTAATTACATGCGCATGGGCCATATATGTCTCCATATAAGAAGTTGCCTGCAGAATATAAATATTTTCTTTTAAGATACGAAAATATTAGTGGCAGTAACCAGTATTGTGTGCTTGTGTTATATAGAAGCTTGAGCCGCTTCGATGCTATGCGATTACACGTAATGCATTTCGAAATGTCACAAAACTCTGAATCATTCGGCATATAGCATGTAAGGTGGACAAAGTGCTGTACTGTGTATGGCTAATGCATTAGAAGAGCTTGTGAACAGCGGTTTTAAATATTTACAGTATTTATTTGCAAATGTATCATGATTTCAAAAGGTATTTCATTGTGTCAAGGCACGCCACTTCACTGGAAGCACTTTTATTTATTTATTTTTGAAAATGGTAATATTTTGTTACTTCTAGTGATCTAGTTGTAGAATATTTTTTATGCTGAAAAGGTTCATTAAGAAAGTCTTGCGTTCATTGGGAGCTTTCGTGATCATTGTTTTAGAGGTAACAGTAATCTGTACAGCCTTGAAAATGTAGCACAGATCAACAACACGGAATAGCTGAGAAATATTGGCATCGTGTATTACCAAAACCAGCTACAGTCTCCGAAGGAAAATGACGACCTTTATTTTGCTTTGATGTAGCAGATCAAACTGCCGCGATCACTTAAAAGTGTTTTCTATGCCAGATGAAACCACAATACCACGCTGTCGGTGTAAAGTTATTTTGCTTGGAAAAATAGGCAATGTAATAATTCGTAAAGCCTGCATAACAACGTTCTGCCGCTGTGCTCAGCTATAAAAAGGCCGGCTTAGCTGAGATAGAACAACACTAGAAGCAGTCAACCATGCCACTGTCGGTTGAAAGTAGTTAAAAAAGCAGTCTGGTGACTTGATTCTCAAAAATGTCTCAGTTTTAGATGCACAAAAAATTTTAGAGCTTTTTCTCAGGTTGTTGTTGTACATACTGTCTTGTCGCATTGAGTAGTCGTGTGCAAGTAGGCACTAATAATGAATAATTAGGAAGAGAATATTCAATACGTATAAAGAGAAAACCAGTGTGCACTTTGTCTCAGGAAAATGCATATGTACCTTATGCACCGTTGTTGAGTTGTTGCTGAACACTGCGAATGAAGGCTAAACAGATATACGTAATGCTAAAGTGTATGAATAAGTCACTAGGCCTCACATAAAAGCTACCATGTCTTTCCCAAACTGTCCATCGACAAAAATAGGCTGCTGTCCTTCCACAGAATAGTGTATGCGCTGTACTAAATTGCACTGTCTAACCTCGTATGGACGCTACAGGCTTCTCACAAAGGGAAAAGTGCGAGGACCTGGGCGTTGTCTACGGCGACGTCTACCACGGCCAGACGCCACCTCGGGAGCGACGCCACATGTGGCGAATATGTGACAAAGCATTTGAAAAGAAGAAAGGTCTCAAGAGGCATGGGCGCACGCATACAGGCGAGAGGCCCCATCAGTGCAACGTGTGTGAAATATCAATCATTTGCACAAAAGGATTCCCTCACAAAACATCTGCACGTTCATATAGGTGATAGGCGATATGATTGTAACACGTGCGAGAAATCATTTGCACTAAAAGGTTTCCTCACAAAACATCTCCACGCGCATACAGGCGTTAGGCCATATCTATGTCACTCATGCGGTAAATCTTTTACACGAAAGCATAGCCTTATATTACATAGCCGCACGCATACAGGTGAAAATCCATATCATTGCGACTTTGGCGCTAAATCATTTGCAAAAAAGGGTACCCTCACGCAACATCTCTTCGTGCATACAGGCGAGAAGCTGCACCATTGTTGCTTTTGCCATAAAACATTTGCACACAAAATGGTCCTCGCAAGACATCTCCGCATACATACAGGTGACAAGCCGTATCGTTGTGGCTCATGCGATAAATCATTTGCCCAAAGCATGACCTCGGAATACATCTGCTTGTGCACACAAGCAAGAAGCCGTTCCGTGGGTATCATGCGCTAAGCCATTCGCAAAAAAGGGAAATCTTCGTGCACGCGAACACACGCACAAGAGTCAAATGCCTTAAAATTGCAACATATGGGCTAAATGTTTTTCACGTAAGGACAGTCTTGCCTTACTCCGCTACATGCATACAGGCGAGAAGCCCTATCATGGCAACATGTGAGATAGATTACTTGAACTAAAGGCTGGCCTTGTGGCACATCACTGAACTTGCATGTGTTACAAGTCCTACCATTGAAACTGCTGTGCTAAATCGTTTGCCAAAAAGTCTACTGTCGTTTCACACCACTGCACTCGCACAGGAGAGAATTCCTCGAAGTGTACCACCTGCCCTAATTCCATTGCGTGGCTACGAAGGCTTCGTTTACATGAAAGCATGAATGAGGGTGAGAGGTGCTGTTAATGCAAGTTGCGTGCCAATTCATGAAAAGGCATCATCAGCTCTTCAAAGGTATCAATGACCGCACAGATGCAAGGACAGTAAAAGAACGAGGTCGGTCATACAGGAGGTGTAGCTAATTGCGGTGACATTTTTAAAACTTTATCATGATACCTAATGATAAACACACGATGACACGTTCACAGTCCCATGGCTGCATTTCCACTCAGTAGTGAAATGTACGAGCAATCATTTGCCTTCAGAACAAATTTTTATGATGAAGCATTGTTGGGCATTAACGCTGAATTTTTTCTTGATATTGGTGTGCCGATACTTTTAGACGTTTAAATAACTCCATACACCCCGATAAGCACACAGTGGGTACAACCACAATTACAAGGCAATGTATCATTGCACTAGAGAAATTATAAATCAATGATTTGCATGCAATAAATGTTTTCGTTCATAACGATAGAAGAGGAGTATTGAATTTTATTTGTTAGTGGTACACTAGTATCTTTGTACTTATAACTAATCTCATCCTTCACGAAGAGCACATGTCTGCACCTCTATATTAACTTATCTGTCTATATCTTTACTAGCGAAGTCCTAATTGGGAAGCATCGGTCAACGTATGTGGTATTGGTGCGTTGGTGTTTTTAGAAATGTAACTGACTTGGTAACTCATGACATGCAATCGTGGGTAACTATTTGATACTAGCTGGACTTTTAGACAAAGACAAGCTGAGAGCAGCTCACCCGTCATCACACGCAACAAGCGTGAAAGGTTCTGGGAGGTGAGTCTCATTCTGTAAGACCTGGGAAACGAGCGGGCAACCTTGGAACAGGTCAAGCGGTTTGCTCGTGCCACGGTCGCCCTAAGACAACGGCTCGACGCACGGAAACATCATTTTTCCGTCTCATAGAAATGACCATTACTATGTCTCCCTTCACAACCAAACGGCTGTCTATCTTTTTCATCTTCGAAATGTGCAATGAAACATTCCAGGTTAAAATATGTGTAATGACTAATAAACTACTGATGAATAAAAGCGCTTGATTTCGACGTGCTGCTACTGTGATAGGAATAAAAGTCGGCGGTCCGCTTCATTTCGACTTCGGCGAACACGTAGGTGATATTGTGACATTATGACTTGAAGTAGTAAAATCAGATCACGGTAATAGGTGGATCTCTGGTGTGGGGAAGGAATGATTATGAATCATCTCTGTTAACGTGCCTACTCTACTGTTACCCTTAGTGGTCAGGCAGAAGTAATGACGTGTGGTTCAGCAAGCGTAGAATGCCTATTTAGTTTATACGTAAAGATCGGGTGACAATTCGTGTGCTAGAGGATGAGGAGTGAAACAATGTGATGTGGCGGTGCTGATGTTTAGCGACACGATTTCTCTGTTTTTAAGCCAGCCAGGATACTTTTGAACCTAGTGACTGCTTCTGCCCACTCCGGCACCCACAACTGTGTTTCCTGTTGGGACCTGAGCAATGTTCTCTCCAATTGCTGAAAGGTATTGATATACGCAGTCTGAGAATTATAAGCTTTCTTTCTGTTTAGGGCAGCTATATAGGATATGGTAAAAAGTGGCGTGTTCTCTTTGGTAGTTAACTGCTGGAGCGAACCGAGAGCATATTGCTAGATAGAATTGAGGGGGTTCGTAAGGAATTGGATAGTAGTCAGCGTCACACTTTTCTAAGTATGCCGTGATTCTGCATGTTTTGTAATGATTCCTCCTGAATAAACCGTTGGCTATGTTGCCCAGACATCTCAGCTTGAAAGTGCGTTTTAAACAATTTTTATAGGCCGGGGTCAAAAAAACTGAAATTTAATCAATATAATTTGAAACAAAAACATATACACTCGGAAAAAACAAGGGAGAGAAAAGGAATTAAAAAAAACCCGAAGAGAAAAAACAAGGCTTCCAAGCACCACAATATTTACACGCATGGCACTGGTTTAAAGCTTTCTGAAGTTTTTTAAATTTCTCCTTATTTACTGCAAGTGGATGATAAATTTGCCCTCGCCATATACAGCTTCACCATAAGGTATCTTAAATGTTTCTTCATTGTCCCGTCACAGCTGACCTGCAGAAAGTCCTGAAGCGTCTTATCAGAAGAAAAATTTCGTCAACAAAAACCCCGATTGTGCTCTTCCGTAGAATAATTTCCCTGTGTGGCCAACCTCGAGATTAGTAAGGAATGTAACAAGATTGATGGACGACAGGTGTGCCCTGCATGCGGATAGTTGTCCAACAAACTGTACTGTTTCAAGAGGCACTGCATATGTCACAACGGTGAAAGACCTTATTCGAATGAAGTGTGTGGACGTAGGTTTCCAGTGGCCACCACTTCTCAACAATCTCAACGCCTATGGACACGTTGTGACAGTTGCGAGCAATGCGAGTTTCAATACAAGCATATAGACATGCCCTGCCGGTTCAGGTGAAGACAAAACATCCAACACGTGAACTGTTTCAAAAAGGTCGCTCGGAAAGGGAATCTGAGAACGTCTCAGAGTACCTGTGAACTTGGGAATGCTTGAAAGTAGCGACATCCTGGAAGCAATTTTGGACTTCTTTTACTCCTTAAGACTATAGCTGACGTACGGCCGAAAAAAATGAGGACCTTTTTCATCCTAAGAGATAAACTTCAAGGTCGGCCTTGCACAACAATCTTCTTTCACATCTTCATCTTTCATAGTTGGATATTTTTATAACATCATGCGCGTCTGATGGAAACCATGCATTACTTGAATAATTTTCATCATTAACAGGCAATATTGTGAACCTCTTCACAGCTCCTCAGGCTATTGTGAATGCTGTGAAGATGATCAATCAGCACTCGTAGGTTTGTTCTTAACGCATGACATCGCTGTCAGTGTTTAAACGCGAAAACATTCCGAAAGAACAGGATTGCGTGTGATATTTGTGATAAATTGCCAGCAGCTGTGTGAAATCTTCTTTTACATGCCTTTATTAAAACGATTGTTTCTGAACATCGAATTCAAAAAAATGATGAATCTTTCAAAACTTAAAAATTTGCGCTTGCTTTCATTTGTTCAGTAAGCATCGTGTTTCTACGCTGAAAAAGTAACTATAGGATAAAAAAACATATATATGCAGTTAAATATGAGGACGAAAATGATTTCTCTTGCGATGGACAAGCCAGCAATGCAATCTCACCGGACAATTCTGTTTAACTATAAACAGCTGATTCCTCGATCATTGAAAAATACAAGTGTCATGCTTAATCTGAGTCAGCCTTAAGCACCTACGAAGCGCTTTTATGATCAGTCTAGACTAAAATGCAAGAAATGCGTTACAACATACTCCTTGATTTTGTGAGAGCGTTGCTTAAAAACTGTGTTGCAATATTGCGATTGAATGGAATATCTGTCCATTGATTTGGCGTTCACAATAACGAAACTATGGAGGTGGGGGGCTGGGGGTGAAGTCAGTGTCAAAATGGTGGCGCGAAGCCTGAAAGAAGTGCAAAACTGGGAGGCTATTTTTGCTTCTTTTTTTTTCACCCACTGTTTTCTGCACCACTTTTGTCTACGTGTATTTTTATTTTTTTTTGTCTCCTTTTCTGCTTCTTTCTATTCTATGTGTACCTTTTCCCCATCTCTTTTCTCTCCTCCGCGCTTCTCATCTATCTTCCTTACGGCCCCTTCGCTTTCCCAATCCCTTCATATGCTATTCTATAGAAAGTATATTTTACTCTGCTAGCATGTGCCTGACTGGCCGAGTGGCTTCATTGTCCGCCTTCAGATCGTAGGTAGCACATGTCTGAATTCCGTCTCCTCGACAAATCCGTTTCTTTTTCCCCATGAAATTCTCCCTATATTCTTCTATCTCTCCTATATCCGTTCTCTCACTCATCGGAGATGCCAATTACAACATGGTGGTTTAGCAGTTATGATGCTCCAGTGCTCAGACCCACTGGTCACGGGATCGAATCCCACCCTCGGCGGCCGCGTCTTCGGTAGCGCTGAATTTATGCTCGACACCCGCATACTTCGACGTACGTGCGGGTTAAAGAACCCCAGGCGGTGGAAATTTCTGCAGCCTTTCACAGTGGCACATCCCATAATGACGTCATTGTTTCCGGACGTTCAATTCGTCCGATTATTACTTCATTACATATCTAACCAAGGGCCAACGGGTTCTGTAAACGAAACAGAGCACGAATATAGCTCATGCGCGTTCATGACGACAACAATTTTAGGGGCGAAGCTCCTTAGGGCGTGGGCTGTGCGTCCCCTGTAGCCTGTATGTAGCCACCTCTAGTTTAGTCCTTGCAGTGTTCACTAGATGGCGGTACCGTCTCCTGTATGTAGCCACCTCTCGTTTAGTTCTTGTAGTGTTTACTAGATGGTGGTACTTCTAGCTGATGATGAAAAGATGCAAGATGTTATAAACTAGAAAGCGGTACTTGTAGTTGATGAAAGACGCGAGATCTTATAAAATAGGAATGATGTCACATATGGCGCGTGTCATTGGTTGAAGGCAATCGTTCGATTTAGTGCGGCGACGTACGCTAGGGGGAGCGTTGTAATAAAATCCGTTCGCTGTTGGCGCGCGCTCGGAGTCGCCGGATGGATAAGGCTGCACAGCGGAGAGAGCGCAAGGCGGCAGCAGCGCGCGCTCGCAGACAGAATCCCGATGACGGATGGATGCACGAACGAACGGACAGACGGATGGTCGGACTCATGGACAGATGCATGGACAGACGAACGGACAGATGGTCGGACGCATGAATGGACGCGCGGATGGTCACGCGGATGGACAGAAGTACAGGTGGGCTGACGGACGCTTCGCCCCATTCATCATCATTCACTCCGGGGATATGCTGTGATTTTTTTCTTTGCTAGGCTACAACCATCAGCTCGTGTAAACAGCCCGGCTGTTAAAAAAATTGGTGAAGTGTAACACGCTATAACATCGCAAGACAAAAGCCCCACAGCGCATTTGGGAACATGTTAAATTATACAATGAGTGATCCTACTATTTCAAGAACATCACGAGCTGGCGTGTGAAGGACATGCACTCAATGACTTTGGCATTCTTAGTGGAGTATACTGATTCCTCTACCACCCCCCACCCCTTCAAGAAGCTTGATGCATCTCATTTGCTGTTGGGCTTCCACCGGTTTGTACCCAACTCCGCTCAAATGGATGCTTTCAGCTAAATAAACGAACAGTTGGAAATCGTTACATTCAACCGGATCGTGCGCAACTGGGTATCAACGAGGTTCGAACGTCGCAACAGTGCCATCTTGCAACAACACTACTAGCAAAGATGTGGAAGTAAGCGTAGTTAACAAAACAACATTTCGCTAAATATTCATTCATTACTAATTGGCGATCGCAACAAGCAGTCGGAAGACACTGCGGACTTTGCCAACGCAGGTGAGAATGTGGATATGCTTGATATAGCAGCATCCAGACAGCCTAGATTATCACGCTTTGTCATACATATACAGAGCCTCAAGCGGCTATTTATTATACACGGTCCACGCTAGGACGCGCATGCGCTATGTCACGCGCCGATGCCTTATACTTTATGGCACAGCGCGGACAGCTACACTCGTCGTCGGTTGATGGCTGTTAGCGCTTTTTTCATCAGGATAAGAGCCCGTCACGTTCCCACGTAAAACAAGGGACATGGCCGAAGAAGGACGACTGCCACAATACTTTACAACTGGTAGTGGCAGCTGCTCGTAAATATATACAAAACTGACGCGTCCCAAGTCATAGCCAGGTGAGATTTCCTTCGAAAACGT